GTGTTTTTCCCTGCGAGTCTAAACCCGGGGCAAAATATTCCTCAGTTCTTCCGTGTGTTGCAGCGTCATCGGTCCTCTTTAGGTGGAACAGCTAACTGCTACCGTTACAACACACAGCTTTCTTTGAGGCAGTCATCGATAAAAAAAAAAAAAAAAAACAACAACAACAACATGAAGTATCTTTGGCCGCTCGCCATCCTTCTCGCCTCGCCCCATCAGTTGAATTAGAAAGCCGACAAAGCGCCGGGCGAACCGAGCCTTATGGCGAGCTTGTCGTATCTCGTGCTCCGGTTTTCGGGTTCCGCCGGCCGGACGTACGAAGTGTTTTCCAAAGGCTTGACGAGGACCCTGTTGATATTTTTTGAACTGGCGTGGCGACTGAGGATCAGATTTCCTTACATCTATGTCATTGCTTCAATGGTGTTTAATGTCAGATTACAGGTAAAGACCCACGCAAATTTGCACTTGTCAGGTAAAATTAGTCATGTAGCAATAAGGCCCTGRAGCTGTGTTATCTGTCTTGTTTATTTACAGTAATATACACAACATGTTTGCTTTCTATAAGTTATTTCAAAACACCAAACAGCTTAAACTAAATAATGTMAATGGAATCATTAGCAGATTTTAGTTTACAGCGTGATGATCTGTTCTATTATTATTATGTTCATGCTGAAATAAAGTCAGAGTAGTAGCTGAGAGTAACTTACATTGCATTATCTGAGCATGACATCAGGTAATATTGCATGAGGGCTCACATAATGTTATTTTTAAGGTTTGACCAAAGCTGTTACATCTCATGTCACTTGTCAGCATCAACTTGCAATCATAGAAAATTTAATTTATTTATATATTTTTTCTGGAGTGTTTTATCTGACAGTTTTAATCTGTTTACAGGTTCACATTGAAATCCACTGAGACCACCGCACCGGCACTTTGGACTTATATTAATGAAGAGCGAGCGCCGCCGTGTCCCCGCCGTCGAAAGACAGCGGCTGACTCAGCGATGTCCAAGAAGAGGACACTTGATCCTGCATTGAACTGGTGGGCCGGTGCAATAAAACCACACAGCTGATTGTTCCTGCAGTCGTACCGACCCGGTGCCTTTGAGGGTGAAGGGCAGCAGGGATGTCTGCAGATGTGAGGTGGAGAATGAGGCCTTGATGATCCAGGAGCCGTTTTGTGAAGATTTTTACTCAACCTTTTTTTCCCCCCACCCTCTGAGGATTTTACATCAACAGCGTGAACTTAATCTGAGCGCCAGTGATTGATGCTGTTTATCTCTGTGTTTATTCCTCACTCTGTTGCATCTCACAACCAAAACCTGGATGAAATTCACTTTYTTTTGAAGAGAGGAAAAAGTCTCCCCAGCCTGACAGAAATGAGCCTGTTTTTGTTTCGGTCTCCTGCGCTTCGGACACTTGGAGGTTAGCGATCCAAACGGTACGACTTCTTTCCATCAGCACAGCTGATCCAACTGGAAATCTCACAAACACAGGAAAAGAAAAGAAATCTCTGCATGTCTTTTGTGTTGAACTTCACACCGTTTCTGCATATTTGTAGCACTGATGTGGTTTTTTCAAAACAAAAAGTTACCTGAAACTCTTTTTTCAGCTGTAATTCTTTCAAAGTTTACAAAAAAAAAAAAAACCTGAGTGTTGGGAGTTTTGTAGTCGTCAAGCTGACAGTGAGAATGAATTTAATCTGGAAGAAATAAATAATAATAAAGAAATGATAAATCTCTACAGTTTTCTAAAATGTAATATTTATATTTATAACCACTGATGTATTCCTGCAAATTCACATTATTGCAGCTATTTTTTTTAGAGTACGTTATTGGTCAAACATTGATTTGTACACAGTCTTCTCTTACACACCCTCTAATTCAGGGCTGCCCAAACAGTTTGATTTCTGACCCACAAAAATAACTGTTTCAAACACTTCACTTGTCTCTAAAAATGCAAACTTAAACTGAAGACATAYCAGCCTGAACCACCGGCAAACAACTTTTATTCATTTATGGTAACAGATTAGCTTTTTTTGTGATAATTTTTATGGACTTATTGAACTGAGGAGGACCCCTACTCTGTTTTTTATGAACCACAGTCAGGACCGCCCCCAAGCTCTAAGAGAACCTGTCATGCTCCCTTTGCATGTTTGTTTTTTATTTAAATAGTAACATTTTAAGAGAAACATGTTTTCTAAGATTTTAARAACCGTAAAACTGTAAAAATAAAACCTTGTCTTTAAAAGTGCAACAATTGCACTTATGTAAAAAAAAAAAAAACAGATTTGTCATTCACAAAATCTGCATTTTTCATACCAGATGAGTTACAAAAAACTTTCTACATCATTAAAAAAATCCACCTTTTTTTACACATATCATGAATAAAAACTAGATATTAAACCTAGCTGCCTTAAAAAATGCACACCACCCGCTGCCTGTCATACAATCTTTAAACTAAATTCACCTTATGATGAGGCTGCAGTTGTATTTATTTTTGCGTTTCTGTTATATTTATTGTGAATATTACAAATGTGTTAATTTATCCACATTATTCAGACCATGTACATTACAAATACAAACAATAATATTGTTTACTACATGTAAATTAGCTTAAGGCTAAATCTGGTGCAATGCATCAAATGTGTTTATGTTTTAATTGCACACTGTCCTGATTAAATAAAATGAATGGGGGAAAATCATGTTGACGGATTTTACAGACTCCTGCAGCCAAAGCAGCATCGGTCACCTTAAGACTTAAGATTACTAAATTGTGATCCTGTGTTTGGTACAAATGTAACACAATCTTCCTCTTTCTAAAGTCACTTATCTTGTCTCAGAGGACCTTTATTTCCTGCTTAAAATCACCAAATAACAAACATGGATTTGGACTTTGGGGGGGTGGGGGGTGGTAATCATTAGAAACTCCAACAAAAGGTGATCAGTCGGAACAATCAATCTTTAAGGAGACAAATTGTGCGCAACTATGAGCCTAAAAATGTTGTGTTTCCCTTTTCCTCTGCAATTTGCTGCAGATTATCTTTACCAGTTAACTTTTCCAGCCAACACGTACCTGAAACAGAGAAGGTGCAGTAACAGGTCTGTCCACAGGGGGGCAGCATACAGTCGCTGTCCTGGATTTCCTCATGAACCTCTGGACTTGCAGGAAGCAATRATTTGTTGTAGGTTAACAGCTGATTAAATTTCAGAATCAATCCGATTACGAAATTTGATTAAAAAAACACAAAATAGTAAGGATTCATCAAATTTACAGAAATTGTGCTAACATTTGTTGTTTTTTACAGGAGTCACTACACATAGTTAGGTCAACCCTGTCTGTTAGCAAAATATCTTYTGATAAAGGATGGACTTTAATGAAACGTTTAGAAGCAAATGACTGGAAGTGCATTTACAAATGATTTTGTTGTTGGTGCAACTGAAGATGGCCGCCACAGCTAYCTGARATGAGATCATTTCACAACAGGATCCATATTTAAAACTAAAAGGCAGCGGGAGATGTGCATCCTTTCACTAAATGCTCTGTATTTAACTCATCTCGATGCAGTTTATGGTAAATTTGTTATCTCTTGATGTTTTCCTACGTGTCACAAATAGGTTTATTTGCCTTTATTCCCATCAGATATTGCCAAACAATCACTTCTGATTAAAACACTTTTAATAAATTGGTCACATCTGGGAATCAGGTTCATTCCCAGATGTTATTTAACACGCTCCTCTGTGCAAAAATATCCCCAGTAAACTTATTCTAAGCAGTCCCTCTGATGCCAGGCAGAGGCATAAAACCATCAGGGGTTGCCAAGGCAACTGTGTTTCCCAGTGTGACAGACAACCCTTCCTGCACCCCCCCACCCCTTTTTTTTCTGTGGAGAAAAAAGAGGATTTATTTTGCGGAGATTTGTTGGGGGAAAATATTTTAACGGGGTTATAAAAAGCACGGGGGAGAGGGAGAGAGAGATGGAGGATAAATTGGGTTATATTTATCCTATTATTTAT